GCCGCGGCGCCCGGTTCGGGCCGGCGGCGCGGCCTGCTCGGCGCCCCGTTTTCCTCTGCCGGCGCGCAGGGAGGAGCTGGGAAACCGGAGAAGATGAGCGACGCCGCGCTGCTTCCAGGCGGTGATCGAGAGCGCCCCGAAGACTAATGCAGAAAATCAATAAGAACGTGGTCCTGGCGCTCCTTTCTCTGACAAGCCTGGTTTTCCTCCTCTTCCAGTTGTACTATTACAAGTTCTACCTATCGCAGAAGGTAAGAGAGAGCTGGCCTCCACGGGCTTGCTTTTGTGGAATAACTGAGTATAATTAAATATCTCTTCAGAGTCCTTTAGCAGCTTTGGCACCCTTTGGCACCCCCAAACTTCCCTCATATGGCTAGCAATTCCTGTAGTATTGACACGATGCAGCGAGGTAGCCTGAGCAGGTTTCTGGTGGCAGGCACACAATCAGATTGCAATTGTCAGCCTGATATTGAAGCCATTATGTCAGACAGAGGCATCCCATTAATTCTAAAATGTGTTCTCAGCTGCGGGTTTGAGCCACCGAGACTTTTAATCTTCACAAGCCTTCCTACTCGTTATGTGACTTTTACTGAGAGCGAAGTCAAACCAGGTGCTGTCTTTAGGGCTTTTCTGAAGGAACAAGGAAGGCAGCATTTATTGGTTGCAGGTTTTTCAACAGTGGTGTTTTTAAAAGAAAACCCAGCTTCTTCTGCAGTTGTCTTGGTGCTTTGTGATTCAGCGTTCATAATTTTCTAGATGTTATGGATTAAATCCTGCTTTTATACCACCCGTGGAACGTTTAGCTCAGTGTGATTTTCTGTAATGGAAAAAGAGGTGAATGTTACTATAAATGAAATACTCTGTTTTTTTGATGGCTTCATAGTTGACAGTTGCAATGCAGATTCAACAAAGGAACTCCTTGCAACTGCATGCCTTCATTTTATTGTTACAGAAGATCCGCGTAGGTATCATATTTCCTGAGTTTGTTTTCTTTTGGTGAGGACATTCTTAATAAATGCAGGCAGCCTTAGTGCTAGGTGGTACCACAACCTTTGACTTCTTTCTTATAGTTTCTGATTGTAAACAAGAAGGCTGTGAATGAGAAATTCTAAACAATTCTTAAAAGCTAAAAGCTGAGCCATTAACCGCCTTGGCTTTATGACACGAGTATACTCTCTTTGAAATTTAATTCTCTAGGGCTACATCTGGAAAGACTGAGGCATAGTCCTGCTGTCTTTCCGCCAGTGGTGTTTGTCTAACGGTGTTTTGTGTTTGTCATCTTCCTATTTTACATTTCCTGGCACATTGAGTTAGAAACCTGAGGCCTGATCATGCAATCTTTGCATGTCTGTAAGGCCCCAAGGCTTGCATTGTCCTTCTAAATACAGTAGGCCAGAGCGGTTGTTTATGACTTCATATTCAGTACTGTAGTTGAGTGACCAGAGGCATAACCACAGCCATAATTATAAAGTGCTAACTGGATAAATGCCCCTGAATGTCCTGTTAAGAAATCCTAAACAGGGATTCAACTGAAACTTACTTCTTTTTCTTTTCTTTCTCCCTCCCCCTCCCCTTATTTGGTTTTGACAGAATGGAGCAGTTTTTTCAAAAGTCAGAGGAAGCCAGTCAGGCCAAGACAGCACTAGATGGGTATGTATAACGTCATTGCTTCATACAGCTCTTCTGCAAGTCTCAGAGAACTCACACGGGATTGCTAACTCGGGGTCCAGTTCTCCTTCCTCTTCACTGGGGATTTTCTAGTGTTAAGGGATACATTCTTCACTGAGTAAAGTTACGAAGCGTTTCAAAACATCAGTTTAAAATGGAGTTGAGAAACCGTTACAGCTTAGCAGCCTTTGCCTGTGCAGTCCTTAGTAGTGTTGTTAATATTTTAAGAAGCAAAACTTGTTCTTTCTGATATAGAAGTTTTGATCCAGACTTTTGTGTTCTTTCAGACTGAGTATTGAAAAGATTGGCTTATTTGACATGCAGCTTGTTTGATAGTCAGTAGCATGGTAAAAGAATTGGCTGCAGGTCTCAGGTCACAGAACACCTCTTTGCTCGCTCTAGTTGTTTAACCTGCTGCTCAATGTTTTGTGTTACTTGCTTATGCTGGGGCATGAAACTCTTCACAAGCAGGAAAATGTTACATTTCAGCATTCACCAGTTGCTGTATTCCATTAGATACTTGTGTGCCATTAGATACTTGCAACGTGATTTTTTTTGTCGTGTCTTACTTAAAGTTTGCAGGATTGAGTGCAACCAAAACATCATGTTGGCCTCAGGGAATCAGAAGCTCAGTTTGTAGTTACCATTTGTTTGGAAATACTTTTACAGAAGTCTTTTGTTAACAGATCTCCCAGTAGAAGAACAGCAGAGATGGTTAAAGAGAATGATGCCCTGGGAACTGGCTGCCTTTCACTTTTGGATGCAATATGATAACGTTGCTACTTAGCAAAATAACCATTTAAATGCCTTGTTTCTGCTGAGCAAGAGGAAAGGTGCTCTGGTTAAGAGCTGTTCTTGGGAATAATCCAAACCAAGTCTTCTGTGGACTGCTTGCTTGTGCCAGGAATGTCTCACTGTTCTTGGAGGTGGCGCCCCTTGGAACTACCTGCTAGGTGTTAGGTGGCATAGTCACAGTGGGCTTCCAATCTGCCAGTCTGTGGACAGAGTTCTCATTAAGCTTTAACTTGATCTTACAGGGTCATGAGTAACAAAGCAGGATGCTTCACAGCGCTGCCAGGGACCTGTTGCACTCCAGGCTTTCTTCAGAGTCCCTGCATGATGAGTCCAAAATACTCTATTTGAATGCACTTCTTTTAGCTGCTTGACATCATCGCCATCTCTTTCTATCAATCATTTAAGTTTCAACTAGAAGCATCTGTTTCCCTGGAGAAGTGACGGGGGGGGGGAAGTAGATATTTTTGCACAGATTTGCTTCCTGTTCGTCAGTCTGGTCTGCTAGTTTTAGTTACAGAAATAATGCAAACACATCACTTACCTTTCAGCTCCCTGTAGCTGAAATCACTAAGAGGGTGGCCTTGCCTCTGCTGGAACAGCATATGTAGTGCTGCTGCCTAAATTCTGTTTGTTGATCCACATTCTGTCTTCATTCACGTTTTTATGCCTCTCTGAAGCCGAAGCCCTGTGCCAGAATTGGAGGTTTGGCCTGTGGAGTCTGGTTGAACAGACTCAGCAGCTGGACAAGGAGAAAGGTTAGAGCTTCAGTTAGAAAGCCAGGGTCAGCTTGCTGAGCAGGTAGAGCTTGGGCAGTAGGCCATTGTCTTCCCTTATCACACCTCTTCTAGAAACCTTGAGATGTATCAGACCTAAAGCCTGACAGTGCTGTTCTAAGCAAGTATTTTTTTCTGAGTAGAAAGGTACTTTAAGTCATTAAATTTAACTGTTACAGTTAAATACATCAACTCCATTTTTGATAGCAGTGTGGCTAGGATTGCTGCAAATCTTCTGTATGCCATGGACATTTAAATGTACTTGATTAAAATTCTCCATTGAGTCACGTTAAAAAATCCTCTCACCAGGCACAGCACCTTCTTGCTACGGCTTTTAACCCCTTAGGCAGTGTTGCCATGGTTGAGTGTCCTGGGTGTACTAGTATCCAAACAGTAGATAGCACTCACTTCCTACTTTCTCACTGAATCACCCTTCATATACAGCAGACATCATGCTTGAGGTTTGGGGATACTGTTTGGGAGTGGGTCAAAAGCTTGCTAAAGTCAAAGTATGAACAGTGTCCATTGCTCTCGCCTTGCCCACAGACTTCTTCAAAGGCAGTCAGTGTGATTAGGTGCAGTTCGCCTTTGGCTGGCTTTCCCAATCACATCCTTGTCCTTCATGTGCTTGGATGTGACTTTCCAAGGCTTTTTGCTCCAGAAGCTTCCGGGGACTGAAATTAAGGTGACCAGAGTTCCCCAGATCCTCCTTTTTGAAGATGGTATGAGATTTGCCTTTTCTCAGATTTGAGGAACAGCTCCTGACCACTGTGGCCTTTCAAGATGTTGCAGAGCAGCCTCAGAATGACATCAGCCAGCTCCTTCAGCACCCACATGTGCATCGCATCTGATCCTATAATCCCTAGTTTATTCAAGTGCTTTCCAACTCAATCTAGAGCTGGAAAGAATCTAGAATTTAGCCTAGAGTCCATTACTCAAGTCTAATACGCTAGAGTTAGAGTGCTTTAACTTGTAGAAAGTTCTAATCGAAGCTGAAAGATTTTTCCTCTAGTCTTAGAGATCTGGAAAGCCTGAGAGCAGCCTGTTCTTCTGAAAGAGAAAATTTCCGTTTCCACAATTGTTCATGGAAGTAAAGTGCACGCTCAGAAAATGTATTGGGAGATAAGATTTCCTTCTGTCAGTGGGTTGTTTTTTTTTCCTTCTGTCAAAGACTTTTAATGTATTAACCTTTGTGCGCTTAAAGATGGCGTTTCTAACTTCTAATTTTATCCTCTGTTAAACAGCATGTGGTTAGGAAGTTCCTAGGCTTAATATCCAGTCACAATATACCAGTATATTTGATCGATCCTTTGATTCTGGGACTGGTTGATAAAGACATTGAACAGATCAGAAGTTCTCCTGATGGTCCTAGTCCAGAATGCAAGTATTTTTGCGCTCCAAGAGACTTTACTACATTTGCATTACTGGACAAAACGTGGAAACATGAAGTAAGTGCCTTTTCTTCAGTTCACATTTGTGTATTGTAATGCATTCAACTGTTCTATGATTTTGTGACAACACTTCCGTGTTTGTATTAAGACCTCTGATTCATTGTGTGGAAATCTTGTAAAGGTATTGGTAGAGGAAACTTTTTTTAAAGTAGAAGGTATCCAGGCACTAGCCCGGCTACATTAAGAGTCATTTACAGATAACTAAAAGTTTTTAGAAGCTGTCTGCAATATTCGTGAATGCTTGCACTGAGAGGCCACACCGAAAAGAAAAAGGAAAGTGGTCTGTTAGAAAGGTAGAAGGAAAACCTTAAGCCTGTGATGTAGGTACAGTCGTAATAAATCTCGAGTTTGGAGATCTATCAAGGAGGAAATGCAGGTATTGATGTGACAAGGCTAGAAAGTTTATCATAGTCTGCTGGTTTACATTTCTTTTAGTACATCCTTGTACTTAACACCATTTTATTTTGTCACTTAGTGTATTGGTATCTCTGCTTTTCTTCAGAGTTCTGAGATTTTTAAATGGATGTGTTAAAAATAGAGGTGTAGCATGTGATGAAGGACAAAATGGAATCCAAGATTATTTAATCAATTAAGTGTCATCTGGAAGTATTTATTAGATTAATTTATACTGACTAAAGATAACAGTGACAAACAGCTTTTTTTTTTTTTATTAAAGAAAAAGCAGGAGACATTAAAATGGTCTGTGACTATTTTACTGAAGGAGTCACACTCAAGTGAAGAGTGGTGGCACTCTGGGTCTGATCAGGCAGTTGTTTTTACCCATAGCTATAAAGGAATTAAAGAAACTGAGAATAAGGTTGTGTGGCAGTACACTAATATAAATCTGTCTCCCCATTCCTTTGTGGCTCATTGATAATATCTGTAGCATCCGGAGGAGAAGCTGATATGCCTGTATAAAACACTTCAAGGGAGGTAATTGAAAGGGTCTTCAGATGCTGATTGGTTCTTTCCTTATCAGCCAGAATTTCATTCCCTTTTTCTATGGAAATATGAAAGCCTGTTACCTAGTGCAACGTTCGGTGTTTGGTGAGATTTAGACAAATATTTATGTACATAATAAAAGAAGATTTTGCAGTAATTGTTTTTGTATTAGTGGTATCATTGTTCAAGGACTTACAAACTCCAAGTTTGGCACAAGAATAACTTTAGAGAACAGTTTGAGGGTGCAGAGAAGGGTGCTATGGCAAGGAGCAAACCTAGTCCAAGCATTGCCTACAACATTTATTTGTTGTTTTATTGAATAGTTTGAGGGACAGAGTTTAAGACAAGGATATAGAGTGGTTGGATTTGCTTGTGGTTGCTGATCTTTAAGGTCTTAGAAATTTTTGAGTAGTTTGTGCTTGTCTGATTAGAAAATGAAAATTGGGAATAAAGTCAGTTAATAATAAGGCTTTAGCAGTCAATTTTCTCTAATCTTTAGCTTCTCTCTCCCCCCCCCCCCCCCCCCCTTATTTTTAGGTGGGCCTTTTTAGAACTGCTGAGAAAATGGGGTTCCAGTGGCTAAAGATTTTAAACAAGGACCCTCGCTTGGATGGGATGGATGACCTGTCTGGGATTGAAATTCCCTTGCACTACATATTTAAACTGGCATCTCATGCCATTCACCTGGTGGTCTTCTATGAGAGGAGTGGTAATTATCTGTGGCATGGCCCCCTGAGGCTCAAGCAACATATGGACAGAAAGTTTGTGCCTTTCCGGAAACTCCACTTTGGTCGCTACCCTGGAGCATATGAAAAGTGAGTTCAAAACAGAGGAGGCAAAAAAACATAATGGCACTTCCAAAATAACATTTCTCCTGTATATAAAGTTGCACCCTTTCCTAAAGTCAGGTTGTAAAATTTAGCTCATGTGTAATAGTTCGGCCCTCAAAGTGCAGGTAAATTAAGGTATGAAGGTAAATCCAATTCAGTTTACCTGAAAACAAGAGCTTCCCACCATTTATAAATTAAGAACTACATTTTAGAGAAAGTAGTTGCTGTGTAGCCAGGTCGAAGCAGGCAGAAAGATGACAGAAGAAGTCATGACTGAGGTTGAATGTACCAGAGGATCTTCTGCTAAAGTCAGTGGTTTACTGTTAATATATTTAAAAGCTTGAAATCTGTTGATAGCCATCTGTGCTATCAACACAAGGGGTAAAGTAGAAGCGGCAAGAGATTTAGTACTAGCTGATACATATTTGGTGTTCTTTCTATAGCGATATGTATCCAAAAGTTGAATACAGATATGGAACATTAAAAGAAAAAGGGAAGCAACAGAAATCCATTCAGTAAATGTCCAAATAATCAGTGGTAAAGAACATGAACAAAGAGAGGTGACATTTGTACCACAAAGACGTGTGCCAACCATTGCATCTAACTCATGCTCTTAATGTGCTGAGGGGACTCCTTTCTTGCATAAATGCTTGAATTGGTGGTGTTATTTTTCCATATTCTTATGCTTAAACTTTGCATTACACTGGTAAAGTTACTGTAAATGTCTGCCTTTTCTTACAATGCTTTCAATAGAGTATTTCAGGAAATACAGATTATGGCAAATCTTGTCGCTTTTCAGAGCGAAGCACATGCCACTTTGAGAACAGTGTTCCTGTAGGGTGTGTGTATTTGTCATAAATCGGAGAAAAAGAGCCAAACATTTCACAGGTCAAAATAAATCTGTTTAACTTTTTCCTTAAAAATGACTCCATTCTTTCTTCCTTTTAAAACATGGAATCTGTACTGGGTATGTGCCTAAACGTTTGAAATTGACTGTGTAAGCTGTTTTCATTCATTGTGAAGGCTGAACAGTTTTTAAATTTTAAATGCAAATAACCTCAAAGTACAGGGTAAAATTTGGTTCTTAAGTGCATCCCATACTTTAGACAACCAAATAAATAGCCTGAGTTTTCAAATGCACTGAACAGCAGCTCTGAACAAATTCAGTGCAAGTCATGAGTCAGTAAAGGAATCGGTGATCTGGCAAACTTAACTATGGGCTTATAGGCATCAAATTTCTTTTTAAACAAAATTTGGAAGTGCATGGGGAATTTGTTGAAGCTCTTGTTGCTGCTCTTTCATAACCGGTTTTGGGTGTATTTGGACAGAGGAGTCACTGCTAGTAGTACGCATTAAGATTTTAACCTGAGCTAGAGGAAAAAGTGGCTTGTGGTTTGTAAAGGAATTGAATGGGATAATGTGTCATCTTTCTTTCCCTGCAGGCCAGAACTTCTGCTTGTTTCCATTGATGACTTAAAAGTTCAAATTCCAAAAAATCCATCCAGTTTTCTAGAGGAGATGTCACACTCTAGATTTCTTGAATGTAGGTACAGAGAAGCTCGGGCTTTCTTTCAGGTTAGTGGTAATCAGGTAGTGTCTCTGAGATGTAATGTATGTTTTCACTGATTGACCCAACCCCACAAACAGTTCATTGTTTTTTACCTAGATGTGCCTGTTCACATACATAAAGCTAAATACAGTCTCTGAGACTCAATCCACAAGAGTTTAGTAAGTGGTAGTAAAACTAAAACTTTAACTGAAAATCATGGTCTGTCTTTTTTACTTGTGAGCGCATTTTTTTTCCATTTTCCAAAACTTTGAGAAGAGGTAACCAACATGGCCATAGTTCTCACACATTGTTACTGTTAAATGGATTTCACGTAAATAAGACTAAGATCTTGGGTATCTTTGTGGTTGAAAATTTTCCTTATGGCAATTCTCAAAGTTCTAAGTAATATTTCATTTTATATTCTTTTGAACCGCGTGCTGCAGTTCCACGTTCCTAGTTTGGTTTATTTGAAATGGTATATTCATTCCGAAATGACTTATTTGTTGCTTTTTGACCATGTAAGCTAATGTTTTCACCACTTAGAGCATTTTTTTTAGAATATTGCTACCTGATTTAGCAGATGGTAGAAAACTTTCTGCTGCAATATGGGGAGCATTTTGTCCTAACTTGAAAAGGGCCAAGATATAAAGTGGTCAAGAGTTACCACAGTTAAGACTGGAATCAGAATCAGGTCACTGAATTTGAGCCATCTCTGATTTCATGGAAGGGGAAAAAAGAGGACACTAGAGGTTCCATTCTTCAGACATTTGAGGTCTTGGGGAAGGGACTTCTCAGGGAAGGAAATACCATCCTTGTTCAGTCTAGTAGGCTGTAGCTCCCCATACATTTAGCAGGATGGTTACTCTACCCCAGGGTACCTGTGTCTTGTCACTTCACCTGTAAAGGACAGAAACTGTAAGCATGCTCCACTTCAGCTCTAAAACCTCCAGGCAGTAATCACCACAGGCAGAGCAAATGTGCCTCAGAAGCTATATTGAACTTTGCTGGAGCTTTAATATTGAAATAAGCAGCTGGCATCTGTTTTGAAAAGTAAGTATTCATTTCAACTGTTTGTTGCCCAAGAGCTCTTAATGAAATCAGTCATGAAGCTGAGTGGTGCGTTGTTCCTGTGTGTGATTTGGTAATGTTTGCCCAGACTGCTGTGGTGTTTTTGGCTTTGCATTACAGAAGATCTTGCCACAGTTGTACCTGGAAGATGAACGTGATCTTCTGTTCGCATTGTTTCTACTATATGGCAGAAGTTGTCAACATCCAGTTGTAGCACTTGGTGGCGCCAAATAAACTAATGTGCTGGAAGTAACTGATTTCTGTGCCCGTTTTCCCCCTGGACTGTGGGTATTGGCTTCAGTGTGTGCAGAACTAGGGTTCATCTGTGTTGTTGCCACGTCCTGAGAATCAGTGTCTAATACATATATTCTTATTCTACTTTATTGTGACTTTACACTCTGATAGTTTGTAAAAACTGAAGGTTGATGTTTCGGAGTTTAAATTTTAACTTGGCATTCTAGTGCATGTTCTTAGACTGGGCTGTATATGTGAAAACAGATACTGCCCAGATATTAGTTAAGTAAATTTTTAAAGGTCATTTTTTCTTAGGACATTGAAAAATGAAGGGACAAGTTTGCTTTCTGACAATAGCTTGCTTATTCTTCCTTTGCCTTCCAGCTGTATCCTGATGATGCTTCTGTTGATGCAGTGGAGTTCAGAAAAAAAGCAAAATCCTTGCTCCATCTGGCTGCCCTGACACTGAATAACTTAGGAGTAAAGTTCTGGCTGAGCAGTGGAACATGCCTTGGTAAAACATTTGTGTTACGTTGCATTTTTAAACTCATCTGAAATTTTAAACATTTCATCCTCTATTGCTTGTGATGTCAGCTGAGGTTAGCAGCTAAATGTACCGGGTTGGAAGGTAATATGTGGCATTAGCTGTACTGAAATAGGCTTTTTTGCTCCTGACAAAATGCTTTTTCTTTAGAAACTTGAGGAATGAGGATTGAATGCTGAGGAAATTTCCAGTGAAGCATTTCATGTTGTTAGCAATTATCTGTGTTGTGTTCATCACTGCTTAGAAAGTAATCAGCAATTCCCTAAATTGTGTGGCTTAGAATTTACTGAAATGCTAGTTGGAAAACACAGTGATGGGCACATATTTCTGCTGTCCGTGTAGACTCACACCTGATTTTTCTTCCATGGAATTTGGTGCTCATCACTGACTTTTAAAATATAGTTTATTCATTTTAAAACATGCTTTTAATAAAATGTCAGCATATTAGAGTAGGTACTGCAAGTTTTCAATTCTGCGGAAGATGGAAGTAGTATCTTATCACTGGTGAAGATTCTTTTATTATTGAAATAGGTTTTAAAAACTCATGTGTGTGCACATTCGACTTGTATTTGTTTAGTCCTAGGGAATATAATTTTCTGAATGAACAGTTACTAAAAGCTGCTTTAATGAAACAGACAAAAGGATGTCCCACTTCTTGTCTACTGTTTTGCAGTGGTGCTTGAAAGATGATTAACATCTCAGATACTATTTAAAATAATAGTTTCAAATTAAAAGCACAGCTGTAGCCCTGTAGCTGTTCATTGCTGATTAGATTTGGGCCCAGATAAAGAATGTTTTTTTCTTTAAAGACATTTAGATTAGAAAACTGAAGATATTTTATCTTTGAAAGAGTTAGTGTTTTCTCTCTCATTCTTGGCTTTCTGGAGGAAGGAGCTGGCTATAAGTGCAGTAATACTTGTTTTCTTCGATGTGGTTCATTTCATACTAGAGAAAGACAGAAGTCTTGTTTATGGCCTCATTCATAAGGCTGGTGACCTTACGGCAGTTCATTTTTATGTTGCTTTTGTTCTATTGATATATTTCTCATGTTCCTGAATTAACTTGTTTGTTTTTTTCCTTTTTTTTTTCCGTCAGGCTGGTATAGACAGTGCAATGTCATTCCTCACAGCAAAGATGTGGATTTGGGAGTCTTTATAAAGGACTACAAAGCAGATATCATTCCAGCCTTTCAGAAAGCAGGGTTACCATTGAAGCACAAATTTGGCAAGGTACATAGATAATGAACAATTTGCTTCATGTGTCTTTCTGTAGGTTCGTAAGTTTGGGTACAGCTGCAAATCACTTATGTAGAAGTGGGTATCTGAAGTCTCCTTGGCAGACATTTGCTCATTAGAGTTTTACCTAAACATATAATCTTGTTGATTTTTCTGTGTTCTCTTGGACAGTGTGTGAGAAAGCACCTTTCTTAATAGCTTCAGCCCTGTTTGGGGAGTCTGAATTCCACCTCAGAAGAAATTTTTAGTAAGTTTTTGAGGGCTCTAATCTGTGTCGGTGCTAGGGAAACTTAAGAATTAAGGTAGAATTTAGTCTTTGAGATTGGATGGGCCTTATCATACAGGAGGATTGGTGGTAGCTCTGAGATTATCTGTAGCCCTCTATGTAAAACTAGCAGAAAGGGAAGGATGGCTTGAGGTGGGCACTGGCTTTGTTCATTATTAGCTTATGTGGATCTTTATTTAGCGTTTTCAGAATGTAGACTGCAGAATGGTAGAGAGAAGAAACAAAATTACAGGAATATGAAGGTTCAGCCATAGTTCAAGTGATATATCATTACTGGTCCTAGGGAGTGATTTATCATAGAGGAAGTGTGTTAAATGAAGACACCTACTAATCATGTGTTTATTCACTGAGATTATTTTGCTTTTGGCAGAGGACAAGGAGATGGTGCAGAAGCTTTTGAGGCTAAAGGGAGGAAATAGAAGGTAGTCCCACTGAGGTTCAGAAAATTTCCAGGGTTCTCAAGGCATCAAAAAAAAAAAAAAAAGAAATTGCAGAATTAGTGTATTTTCTTCAGTTACGATAGGAGTCACTCTGCATACCTGACCAAAATAAACTTGTTTTCTGAAACCTGCTGACATAAGTAGCCTTGTATTTTTATGAGTACATACGGTGTGTATTTTTGTCTTGCAGGTAGAAGACAGCTTGGAACTCTCTTTCCAGGGAGAAGACGATGTGAAACTTGATATTTTTTTCTTCTATGAAGAGGATGACCACATATGGAATGGAGGAACTCAGGCCAAATCGGGCAAGAAATTTAAGTATGAACTGGATTTGTATCTCTAATAGGAAAGAAATTGAACAAGTTAGTGTTTAGTGTTGGCATTTTGTGTGTTGTGTGTTGTTGCCTGGCAAAGTCTGTGCTCTTTGTGGGAAAGGCAGTTATCGGAGGAGTATCAGTAGAGATTTTGCACTTTGAGACCAGAGAAGTAGAAAGAGAACAGTACTATGCCTTACTAGAGAGGTGCTGGGCTTGTCAAATGTCAATTCTCTCGTGAAATCGAAAGCAGTGCTGGCATGTCATGTATCAAGCAGATCTTATCTGGACTGTGGCAAGCTCTCAGTTAAATAAACAGCTAAGGTGAGAAAGAAGTCTCTAAAACTGTGTTTGTTGCACAAACTAATTTTGCAGTAAAAAATGAATCCTTAGGCCTTTGTCTCGACGACGGAGCATTATGGCAGAAAGCCTCAATTGTCCTTGCAAAGTAAACCCCATAGTTTTGGATTTTGTGGTAATGATTTGGAATACTTTATTGACTGTAATGTTGTGACAGCAATGCAGATGACTACTGCAGACCTTGTAGTTCATGTTCTGAAAATGGAGTTTTAAGTAGGATCCCACATTACTTGCTTCATACCTTCCAGTATTAAATCAGCAAATAAGTGCAACAGCTTTCTAATCTACTCAGCAAACTGAACATGGGTTTTGATAACTAGATTTGTTTCTTTCCATCACCAGCCTTAACTCAGAAAGAGACAGTTGCAGACTAGTTGAAAACCTTGTTGACTTCTACAGGATTTCATTATCTTTCATATTTTGCCTGAACTGTATTTGCTTATATTTAGCTAATGGGAACTTAGTGAACACTGTCGTCCAGATGGTGATAATGTCTGAGTCCTTGCCTTAGTTATCTTTGTTTTGAAATGATAAACAAAGTTTGGGGAAGATATTTTGATGACCAGAGTCAAAAAGCACACTTAAAATAGACTAAAGGAAGAATTCTTGGAATATTCCCACAGAAAATGTGGTATGTTGCAGAGTGTTTTTCTTAGAATACAGCAACAATTTTGTAGTTTTCCAAAGCAGGCTTAATGTCTGTTTTTCCATACAAGATTTTGGAGGATTTTGTGTGATGCATTCTGAGGAGGAAGCTGAACAATAAATTCCTTTCCTTTTCTTTGTGCTTCTGTTCTGTCTAAATTGCAGTAGCTGTTTCCATGCCAGTGGAGTTGATGTGCTCTTTCAAAATTCCATTGTAGCGTCAGACCGTGGGTACTTGAGAGCTGTGTTTTGTTTTTTTCCCCCTTTGATATGACTGGTCCAATGCATGAGAATAGAAGGTAGATGTGAACCTGTGCTATGCTCCAGCTCCTGTATCCTAGGATAGCACAGCTCTTTTGGAACTCCAGCTTTCATAAAACACTTTCCTTTTCTTGTAGACTAGTACTTATTTTTGGTGGTAAATTTTTTCAAAGTTTACAAACATGGCTTTCTAGTTCAATAAGAACTAATTTGCTTAGACAAATAGTAGTGTAAGGAAGTAGTGCCTATAGTAGTGTAAGGAAGCCACTAATTCTGAACTGGTGTTTCTTAGGCGTATTTTACTGTACTTAATCCATACAGAAAAAGAGCAAGAAAACTGCTTGTTTACCATTATAAAAGCCCCAATACCTGACAGAACATGGCTGTTCAGAATGCGTAGCCAAATAATTGCAGATATGTATTATTCCAAATACCTTCTCAGAAAGAGAAAAAAGATCATGGCTTTTTAGTTGTGAGATGTGATGATTTAGCGTGCTTGATCTGAATGCCTGCAACACCAGAATGACTGTCAATTTTGCTTAGTCTTCAGTCCTTTCAAAATTTTGGGGGAAAGTAAAGTGAGGAGGTCAGCCAAAAGGCAAGTGATTGATCATACTGAATCCGAAGTCCACTTAACAGTTTTAAAGGAATCTCACCAGCTGTTTATGTGGTATCAGAAGAGCTATTGGTTGCTACTAGATCATCAAAGATAAGGGCAGGAGTTCTATTCCAAGATATTTATGTTTTTAAAAATGAGGGGTAAAAGACATTTTCTTCAGAAAGCTAAATATTCGCATAGACATACTTTCTATGTATCTTGCTAAATAAAAGTATGAAGAATGAAAGTATTTCTCATTTACTTTCAAAAATATTTTTCATTAGCCATTTTTAGTCTCTGTTTCCTTGGGAGAGCTGGTTTCTAAACCTTACAAGTCTGGCTGTATGGTTTGCGTTTTCATGTACACAAATACTTCCTCAACCGTGCAGATACAAGCAAGCATGTACGTCCTCCTTATTTTGTCTTGAAGTTACAGCAGTTGAGACCACCTATTTGTTTACAGAATTAATGCTGGACAGTTGCATTCTTCAGCAGAGAATAAGTATTTACAAAAAGTGAATCTGGGAATCAAATCTATACTGTATGCTTTAATCCTTAATATGAGTTAATTCTGTAGGTTCTTAACATAGAGGACTCTTTGTAAGTGTAAAATCTTTTCAGTTTATGTCCAAAGATTGATGAGACTGAAATTGGAAGAGTACCTAGCCTTATCCTGGCCACTTGGAATGAGCAAACGATGAGCAAGGATTCCAGTAGTGTGAAGCATCACTGAAAGCTACATTTTTCGTCATTGAATGTAAACATTTGATTTTAATAATAGTTAAATAATTATTTTGGTGAAATTTCCAACTGACTTCTTAATTTGCAGATTAATTTATTTAAATTATCCATTGGTTCTCCTTAGAATTATTATTCGGAGTTCACTCTCTGGAGGATATATTATTTCAGTGGTTTGCTGATAGCTTTTGCGTATGCACGCCCACTGCAATTCTGGTAGATGAATGATTTCCTGTGTTAATAACAGCTAAACAGCTATTTGATGATTATAGATCCACTAACAAAGTTTGTTTACTTTGTTTTCCCCTTGGTAGCTGGCATTTTTTTGTTTTTTTTTGATAAATCAGTAGTCTCTGGATATATACCCAAAAGTGCTTGATCACTTTTTTCTCTCCCTCCATTTAAGGCATAAAAGCAAGGTTGTTTTATTTTCTGAAACTGTTTGCTCAGCGCTTAGAAATAAAATTAGCTTTATGCTTAGAGGAACACGTGGGGTCTCTAATTCATGCAAATGCACAAATCTTTTAACCTTCTTTTTCAAAAGGTCTAAGTGCTTATGGTTTCATTTTGACCTGTGAAAAGGAATTTTAAGATCACTTTTTCTCTGTGGAAGAATTCACAGCTTCAGAAGTGGCAGAGATGCTCTGCAGGAATAGGACATAATCTTTGGTATTTACTTGTTTAACACATTGACTGACACTGGGCTCCTATAGGATGTCATTCTGATCAAACTGTGAAATTTACCTGTGAACTTCATTAGTGTAAGCATAGTTATAGGTAGGGCTTATGTTGGCCCTTCTACAGGAAAGAACAGGTACAGAACAAGGTCAGCATGGTAGAATAAATTATTTTTTAAATTTGAATGGACCAATACGGTTTCAGAAAGTACAGGGTGGCAGCTGTATCGTAATTCTTTGCAGCTGCTCCAAGTCTGGCACCATGTTTAAACACGGGTACTGAAGGGGAATCGCATGCTTTGTTTGGTAAGATTGAAGAAAGGTAAAAACTTGTTTTTTGAAAAAGGCCTGACTTATAATACAGTATTTAATGCTGCTTTTCTCAAAATCTACCCTACCAAATAAAATGTATCATCCTCTTGACACCCTTCTAAATGAGGTAACTCTTAAATCCATTTTGTAAGTGGAAAAGTAGAGACAGGGACTAAGTGATTTCCTATAGGTGGCAGAATGATATGGGAATAAGCAGAAAAAGAATTAGAAATGCTCCTTCCTAAGAACATGTGGCAAATGTTATCAACGGTAACTGGTTAACAACGCCCCTGTCCAGTACGTAAATAATATTTCATAGACGGGAAGCTGTGAAATAAGAAAAAAAATATTATAAAGGTAACATGGCCACTCGCTGCAGTTGCTTGCTTTCTCCATGAACTTATTTAGAGCTGTATTTCAGTCTTCTGCTGGTGACCATGTTCTTTTGTTATGACACAGGTATCTCTTTCCAAAGTTCACTCTGTGTTGGACTGAATTTGTAGAACTCAAGGTACACGTGCCCTGTGAAACTCGTCAGTATGTTGAAGCCAACTATGGCCCGGACTGGAAGGTTCCTGTGAAGACGTGGGACTGGAAGAGCTCACCATCCAACGTGCAGTACAATGGCGTCTGGCCTGTCAACGAATGGGACGATGTCATTCAAATCTACTGACCACATGACTGCTAATAGAGCATGCCTGCTATCCTTGAAACTGCCAGTTTGTAATTTCCTATTTCCCAAAGGCATCAAGATCCATTCCTTTCATAACTTCTCACCTGTTTCCTAAGGAGACCTGTACATTTTTTTGCTTAACAGGTGGTTTTTTCACCTTTATCATGCATTTTCCAGGTAGTTAAAGGAAAAGATTAAAGGCAGGACGGGGCAACTGAAGAGAAGGGAGGCTGAAAGAAAAACTGCAGAAAGGGAATAGAGAAGAAATGGTGCGGTAAACTTATGGGCAGTTGGCTATTTAAATGTAAACAGCGGCCAGGTGGCTTAGACTTTCGTGGGATCATCAAAAGCTTGGGACTGTTCACTTCTCAAGCTTAAGAGAGGGATAGGATGGAAAAATCCCACAGAAGTTCCTCTTTTTTTTTGGAGGAGACCTTGTGAATATTCAACTTCTAAACACCAGAGTTATGAGTACCTCAAATGTGCCTGACTGGAGACTGATATGTCCCTATGAAATGTGACAGGTTGCTCTTGGGAGTGGAATCCTTCTATTACACAGAACCCATGTGACCCCCCTGCTTTACGTATAGGAGGTATTGGGTAACAGTGTAATACTAAATGAATGAAAGCAGAAACTATCCACATCGGAGATCTTCCAGTAACAGTTGGGTTTTCTGTGAACTAACCACTGCATGCAATTATGACAGGGAATGTTATCTGCTTTTTTTTTGCTTTTTTTTTTCTTTTTAAAGAACATAAAGGTGTATGCCACAGGGATGTCTTTCCCATGAAAAAAAAAAAAATTCTGGTTTTGATGTCCCAATTAGTGTGTTCTCCATGTAAAAGTTTTGACTAGATTTTAGAAAATCATAGCTATCCCTGCTTTCTTATGAGTAGATAGAAATGGGAGTATTCATAGTTTTCTGTTTAACATGGGCTCACAGAACAGAGATCTCGGAGAATCACAGCTCTTTTCTCTAAGCCTAAGCAGAAGTATGTATAAATACCAACTGTTCTATCAAATTTGCAGTAGCATAATTGCAAGTGAAGTGTTAGTGTAACATTAGGCTTTGGATTGGACGAAAGTGGAAGCCTGACAACTCGCTCCTCCTGCTTCTGCTTGTGCTTTTGGTCAATGAAGTAAGCGTTCTTCTTCAGTATTTTGGAGAGGGATAATAGCTTTCATATGAGCGTGTGTGTCAAAGCTTGTTCCAGTCCTGCTGTGCAGGGAAGACAAGGGCGCTATAGCTGCTAGTGAGTTATGACTATAATACACAGTACAGACCCAGGAGTACTTGTGAACCAGTGTCAAGGTACTGAATAGAGCTCATGTTTACTTGCAACAAACCTGTATTCATTCTTTCCTTGCTAAAGCAGAAAGGCTATCTCCAGAAAGGTCACAGCTTTTCCACCTTTCACTGGGTAGAGGTAGGCTGAGCCTGTGGTTTGCATTCTGTTGATCTGCAGTTTTTGGCTGTGTATCCAAATGTGTACAGTTCTGGAGAGATGAAATAGCTACTGCCATGTGGCGGTTTTACTACTGTGTCATTCCAGGTGCGCTCTGGGGCTTCCCTGCTGTTTTCATCCTGGAGTGTGCTGCATGCTTTTTCCTGCCAATCCTCTCAGTTCCAGCAGTCTCCTGCCACTGAAGCACTGGAGTAAATTACTCAGCTTCTGGCAACAGCTTGTCATGCTGGCTCTTCAATTGGTGTGGTAACTTTGTTAGCTTTGCCTAATTAAGAAGAGAGAGATGTAAATCCTGCTAATGCCGTTTACTTGGTAAAATAAACATTATGTCATAAGGGATAATTTCTCAGGTAGAATTTTTTGTATTTTTTCCTTAAAATCAAAAAAGCCAATGTCCTTATGTTTTTTGTGTTCAGAACTCTGTTGTTGTGAACTTTTGTTTAATAACATACAATAAGCCTGTAAGTTTTTCAAATGTGATAGGTGTTTAAGAGTGAAAGAAAAGATACTATCAGAAAATTATAATCCTGTCAAATTTTTGACTTTGTATTTGTAGATGGAAAGACTAATGGAAAAAAATGCATGTCCCTGAAAGGGAGGATGTCTTAAATAGTTGATTATACCTGTAAGTTATTCTTCAGGTTAAAATATTTTCTCTCCGGAAGATACAAGTGTATATTTAACACTGATTAAAGGAAGGAGAGTCTAATTTGCAACTCACGATGTTGTTTCATCCTTTGTTTTGTCATCTTGGGCAGCATTTAACACATTTCATTGCAGTTACCATGTCATAACGCACAGAGAAAAATTTTGAACTGTTTCTTACACTGCTTATTGACTGTCTATCTCAGGCTTTTATTTTTTAATAAAGATACTTGCACACAACAAAGATACTTGGCATAAAGCAGGTGCCCATATGTAGGAAAAAGCATCCTGCAGTTGCAAAACACATTGCACTTCTGTGTGTCTGCTGTCATGCTTTGTGCAGTGTGCTGACCGCAGATTTCCGGCTTGTAGGATTGTGTCCCACGGAGCGGTGTAAACATCATAGAACTAGCGCTCTTTGAAGGCATGCCGTGAGGCTGAAGCCTTACCATTCCCCACGGAAACACCCAAATCTAGGCATTTGTTTCCTTTTAGGTTCTCCTGAATTGCCTCATCTGAAATGGATTCTTAATTCTGTGTTACCTTCCTAACTTACTATCTTCATTTTGAAAGTGCTCTGGAGAGGAGGCCAATTTCTAAATTCTTTTAGGCATTTAAGGTCTTAAGCTGCAACATGCCAAGTACCTTGACTTTCATGTAGCAAAAAAAGCACGTTACATATATGTAACTGTTAAAGGTAGCAGAGCCTATTCAAGGAATGCCCAGGAGCTGAGAAGAGGGTAGCAAGATGTTCAAAGCTCTAGAATAACTGCAGAGAAAGATTGAAGAAATAGTTTGCCTGAAGAGGAGGGACCATAAAGAGCCATTTTCAAAAGCCGTGAAAGATGGTTACAAAAAGGAAGGTATGTACGTGCTCCCTTGCCACGATTGGTGGGAAGTAGAAGTAAATGGGAGGAACACAAACTGATGTTGCCAGTGTAGAATACTGGAATATTTTGCATGTAGAAATGTGTGAAGCCTTTGACTTTGGGGGTCTCTGAGAACATGTCGGACAAATGTCAGCCAAGACTGACTGTAGTCCAGGATTGACTGTAGTTAATTCTATCTTCTGGCTGGAGGGAGTTCCTATTTTCCATGATTCTGTGGCAGTTTTCAATAACTTTCTGCTTTTACAAAATGGAAATTGGAATCATCGTTTGCGTATGAGCTTAAGAAAGGTTATATTTCTAGAATCAGATACTAGAGCTCATACTGGGAGTGATGGTGAATCGCCACCCCACTGTGGAAATGACAGGAAACCACAGCATCTTGAACACTTGAAAAATGTGATCGTTTACAACAAGAGTGCAATGCAGTTCTTCCAAGGGATATGTCTGAGCCAAACTGAGGCTGTAGAACAATGTTGTAATTCCTGCACAGAACAGAGGATGCTCGGCCATGCAGGGCAGTGAGTGTCCGAGGGAGATGGTGACGCTTTTGATGTGTCTGGAAGGAATCTTCTGGTAGAAGAATGGCCTGTGTATGTTCCACCCCACTCTTCTTTTAAAGTCAGAAAATGGAGGGTAGACAAAGCTGTGATGATACAGACAGGAGAGAGTCCTGAAAATATGGTTGAGTCTTTCTCTGCTGTCCAAATGAAAAAGTAGCAGCTGATTTTGTTATGCCCTTTCACTTGAAACAGAGTCTGGGAGATGCTGGTTCCTGGTGTTAAAAACAAACAGTTTGCATCCTTTGCTGCTTTAGAATTCTCTCCCCTTGTCACTAAGTCTTGAAGTCTGTCAACTCAAGAGAAAAACAGTCTCTGCTTTGCACTGTCAGTTGGAATTGTTTGTTTTGCACAGATGGATGAGAAGTTAAAGGAGCAACATCTTTGTAATAATACAGATACCTTCCTTCCTTCCAAGGACTGGCTTGTCATGGTGCAATGACTTTCAGGAACTTAGTTCTCTCCTTTATTACTCATTGGCAGAATTCTCTGAGTTCACACAGCAGTTCAAGTAATTCTGGGGCAGTTACCTCACTGTTTAGGCTTGTTTTCTTTCTCTTCATGTAATTCTATCACATTATGTATTGCAGAACAAAATGCGGGAACTTTGGAATTTGCATGCAAGCACATAAAAGACTATCTAGCACCTGTATTTAATGATCTACATCTGTTTTGGTAAATAGGCACCAGCAGCCGATTTACATGGGCTGATAATCTTGCTTAATAGCATTAGACTGTGGAATGGTGAGTTCTCTACTGAGGCTAGTTTTATACATAAATGTCCTATTGATTTAGACTGCAGCAGAGCATGTGAGTTATGAGCTGAGTAAGTCTTATCAAACCCAAGCCACTGCTGTAATTAAGGGGTGTGGCTGAGAGCTTTCCTCTTGAAAAAAGGAAGGGACAATGAAAGTTTTGTTCTTAAAGGAGGGAAACTAACACTGTTGTGGTTGTGCCTGTTTTCCCGAAATAAATCTTTCCTGCAGCTTAAAAAAGAATTCGCATTATTTTACCCAGAATTTACTAGGTGAAATGTCATGCCTGGTGCTTTGCAGATTGTACTGCGTGCTCATAACATTCCTCTTCTGGCCCTAAAACTTCTGAATACCTTCTTTTATCGTCAGAATAATTAGCTTGAATGTTAGTGTGTACAATGTACCTGTATTTCAGACTGCAGGGGCATAGGACACTGGTATCACTCAGGGCAGTAATACGTCTGACACGGTACCATACTGTGCAAAGATATTCAGATTAGTTCTGAAACAAAGCAGTTCAGAGCTATGGTTGATAACAAGGTGAATACATAGTAATGTGGGATGATGTTGTTGACCAAGAGAAATCAAGTGGAATGTAG